TATTTTTAGTGTCTTATAGTATGTCAAGGGGGTTATATTAAGACTAAGCACTATATGAATTTTCATTCTAAAAAAGTATTGTTTTGCATTAAAAGTATTTTTTTCCCATTACCAGGTGGTATCTTTTAAGGAAGGAAAGCATTACCCACTGTCAGAGGGAGCCTGAAAGCAATAACAGACCACCCCTTTATTGGAGCACAATGCACTATTAAAATTAAGCTGTTAGTCAACTGTTGCTGAATCACAGATATATAGTACTTAACAAATGGCAGTGCATGCTTTTAGCCCATTAACAGATTCTGCTTTGAGTACTGCAAAGTGCCACTAGGTGATGTAATTCAGGGCCAACATAAGAGGCCTTGCACCAGTGCAAGCAAGCAACATTCAATTCGATAAAGTACTGGAGCAAGGAGCAGAGAATAGACTACAGGGTCAAACTAATCTAATCAGAACATCTAGAAAAGCTGGCAAAAAAAGAAGCCATGAAAGTAAAAGTCATATTCAAAAATCATTATTTATTTTTTAGTGAGTTACATATGTGTTTGTACATCACTCCAGTTCTTATCTTAGTCTGTCTGGAGAAAGTGAGTAATGATACTGACCCATTGACTGTAAAGACAGCATTTATTTATATAAAGCAACAAAACTACTCACTACTAAAAGGAATCATCCTGCTTCTTCCTCTTCCCTTCCATGCTCCAAGCATTCCTCTGTGCAAGTTATAGACCTTATCCAACTTTTCAGTGAGTGGGTTTAGCTCTCCCAGCTGTTAAAAAGCCATGTGCTTTTCTTTTTTTTTTTTTTTCCCCTATTTGTTTCCTGCTAGCTTAGAAACCTAAATGGACTCCCTGATAGATCAGAGGGTTACCTAAACTCAGAGCATGTGAGAAAAAGCACGCCCAGAATGAGGGAGGGAGGAGTGAAACGACTCCAACTGCAGAGCTGTTAGTTCTACTCAAAACATTTTGTTTAGCTAGGAGTGTCCTTTGTATGAGGTAGAAATGAATGTGGTACATAACATTTTTATCTGATGAATGCTCTTAGTATTTGTTCAAATGATTGAATTAATGTATCTCCAGTGTTTTTCATTGCTTAGATACTCTCATTCCTAGCATACTGACAAATCCTAGCACAGCTTTTATGCGTTAATATTTTCCATAAACAAACCAACACCACGAGAATAACTGTTGCTTTGTAGGAAATGATCTTCACAACTGATGCAACGACTAAAACCGTATTAATTACCATGAGACAGTCCGTAAAGTTATTTCAACAGGAGACTTAAATAGACAAAAGAAAACATAGCTATAAGTGATACCACTGAGATCTCCATCAAGAAAGGTTATCGTTAAATGGACAGCAGTAAAATGTGAATCAGTTACACCTCCACTACACTTCTCTAGCTTACTATATACACTCAAAGTTTTGGTCATTATGTTTTTTGTAGTCTATGCATTCATAGAAAGCGCTAATAATCAATGGAAGATTGGATACATGTTTCACTACAGGACCTGCCTGTTAGCAATTGTTAATTGCTAACCAGAAACACGCGGCAATTACCCTTTAAATTGTAATTGCTCTCATGTGATGGTCGCTTATGGCATTACAAACACTCCATCAAAGTTCTTTGAATGGGGGCTTTGCCTCAAGCCATCTTCTGTATCTTAGGTAAATCATCACAATAACATTCAACGCATGAATATCAGCGTTTTAAAAAAAGTGTAATTCACTTCAAGCATATGTTTTCTTGTGTTTATCACCTTAATAGCCACTGACACTCCCTCTTGTAGTTTTGTTGAGTTTCCTGTTGAGTTTTGTTCTAACATTGCAGGGTCGAATGGTCTGGCAAAAACGAAGTTTGTTATGAATCAGGACCCCCAAAAAACCTAAACAGCTAAAGTTTAAATATCAACTAAAAGAAACACGACAGAAAGATCTTACAGAAAAACAATCATATTGAATAATACTAAAAGCCTTAAAAAAAAATCCAAGCAAACAACAACAACAAAAAAACCACAAAATGCATATTGAGTTTCTAATATAGGAGAACACTTTTATAGTGCTGTCACATGCCACCACAGGAAAGTTCAGTCATTATGTCACCTACTTCTGTTTACAATAAATGGGCCAGTATTTAAAACATGGGCAGCTACCACAGCCACTTTCATTTTATGTCTGCACATGGTTTTCTGCCAAGTTATACCACAAAATTATTGTTGCCAATACATTTTGTTTTACCCAAGAGTGGCAAAAGTCCTTGATGGTACATCTAACTGTATTGTGTACAATTATAAATTAGAACTACTAGTATCATTTTTAAAGTTATTGCATTAAATGCAAAAATATCCTCAGCAGCAAAAATTCTCAGAGCAATTCTGACACAAATCTATGGAAATTTTTCTCACTAGCAGATAAAGCAAAGGAGATTCCCCACCACCACCCTTTAAAAAGATACCTGATTTTCAAAAAGAGCTGGGCAATATGGAAATCCCTACTCCTAGCCTCCTAAGTATAATTTCAAAGCCAAAATACTTCAGAGGATATAAAGAGAAATTCCAGAAAGACTTTCTCAGGTGATTCAGTCCCATGAAAAAAAAGTAGGAAGGAAGCCTCACCAGCGTCACTATAGCATGAGTGTGAAAGACAGCTCCACTACAAAAATACTATATTAGCTTCCTGTGTCTTTTGAAATTAAAGCTTTTCTCCTAAAAGGTATAAAATTTATTATTCCAATCTAGTCAGATAATAACATGATCAATGACTGAAGGATTTAAAAAAAAAAAAAACACAAACCCACAAGTTTAACACTAAAATACAAATTTAAAACCTGACATCATAGTGGCAATCCTTTTGTTGCTTAAAAACATTTGTTCATCAGTTAAAATAAGCACAATAATATTTAACAACTAGAAAGAATAATATAATAAAGCAATGATGTCTTACTCATCCTTCTGATTAGATGTTACCTGTAACACTAAATATATTACAAGGATTCACTTCAGAAATTTTCTATAACTTTATCATTTTTCCAGACCAAACTTTATTTTTTCAGGGACTAATTTGCAGGTTTGCAGGACTAGGAACCAAGCAAACTAGAAGTATATGTAATGGTCCGTTTCAGACAAATCATCCTGAACACTGAATTATTTCCCAGTAATTTTTCCATAATGTTACGCTAAGGGTTCAGGACTATATCCCCTGATTGTTGTGAAAGCAGACTACTTAGCAACCGTCTCCTTACTGTCTTTTGGGGGCGTTTTGGTTTTGTTCAGGTTTTTTAAAAGATTAATTTCATCTGGTAAATGCGGAAAAAGTATCTGCAGATTTCTCTGTGGGTTTTTTTGTTTGGTTTTGGAGGGGTTGGGGTGTTTTTTCGTTTAAAAGGAAAGCTGCAACTTCTAACTTGCATCCTAATTGTTTCTAAAACCTGTAGATTGCGGTGGGTGGAATTAGAAGCACAATGCAACTGCCATCCCTGTTAGTCTATTCAGATAAGCTTTTCAGTAAAACCTAAATGTCAGCTATGCAAAGTCATTTCTTTGCTTCAAAGCCTATGTAGTCACCTCCTAGAAGTTTCATGGTGATAATAAAAAGACCAACAGGCTACCCAGATGGATATTCAAGAGAATTTTTCTCATTTTTACAGGAGAATAAAAGATTGTATAACTGCAGATGTATCAAAGTCAGCATCTAAAAATTTCTTACTTATGTCATACTTCAGGACATTTAACAAAAGAGCATGCAAACCCCGTTACATTTTATGGGAGAAAATAATATTCCTGCCTGAGAAAATATTGAAAATGTTAGAGGAAGAAGAGCTAGAAGCGTAGCATTATCGGACTTTTGCTATCTCATTACAAATGCATCACCGTTCATAAAAGGTGACATGAAGTTCTTTGAAGTCCCAGAATTAACACATTGTCTCAAACATATTCAGCTCTGCGTGAAAGCTAGTTCATTATCTCTGACTGTATAAACCCAAGCAGTAGTGACTGTTTACTGAAACAACCTGTAAATGTGTTAGCCTGTGTTTGCAGAGGATAAGGACCGTGCCATCCCAGGCCCACTTCAGACCATAAAAGTGGTTCTTTTCTCACCCTTATCTGAATCATCCTTGAACAGACTGCTTCTGAACAGAGTTTACACTCCTCTTCTTTGATCTACTTTATAAGAACATCAGAACTGTTTACTTTGAAATGCACACATTTTTTTCTTGGGGTGCAGGGAAAGGAGATCGTGTTTTAAGACATGAACGGATAAATTCAACCCAACTAGTCATTGTTCTCCATGTTTCTTATCCCGTCCAATATCCTGAAACATAACTGTTCACTGCTTAATCTTATTCTTAAATAAATTCATAACAATTAACTCATTCTACTACCTATTAGATAATTCAAAACTTCCCACCTTACTTTCTACAAATGACCTAACAAATTGCCATGCTAACGCCACTGTGATCTAGTTTCAAACCTTCTCTCCCCGAAGACTTCTTTAAATCTCTGATACTACATAAACTGAAGTCAACAACTATACCTCACACTTCAGAGGAAGATGAGAGTCCTAACTCTGTCTCATGGACAGCAGTGAAAAATATTTAACCTTACATTTCCAAGTAACTCCCTAGTTCAAACAACATCTACCCACCCTGACTTGATAAAAAGCAGCGTGTTACTCGTAGGCATATTGGGAAGATACTAGTCTCAGTGTTTCTCCATAATTTTCACCTGTTTGCAAGCTCGAGGACTACTTACTTGTTCCTACCTCGAGTCGCTCTCCTTTGCTGGTAGAAAGGCAAAAGGATTCTTCCAAACCTTGCATCGAGCAAGCAAGAGGGGCTCCAAATTTGAGCTTAAGTCTCACGAAAGAGGCCTCTCTATGTCCTCCTTTGTTACCAGTCCCTTCTGAATCCTTGTCCTTCACACCAGGAGATAAAGACTGAAAATCACGGCGTGGTTCAAGAGTCGAGGCCAGCTCGGGCCGCATAAAAAGTCCAGGCCGTGATGCGATTATCAGCGGCTACGTGGTCAAGAGACAACTCCGAGCTGAACTTGGCGCCAGGTCAGGTAGCCTTGAGTTCTGCTAACTGCCGCGCTCAGAGATTAGGCGGATGTAACAATCACCTGAAAGGGGAGATTAAAGCGCCTCTCAATGGGGCCCTTTGTTCTCGGCCTCATTTGATGCTTTGCGGCCTTTTCAAACCACGTCGCGGAAGGCGCTTTAAATGTTTGCCCCCGCAGCCAGGGCAGCTTCAGTGAGCGGGGACCGCCGGCAGCCACGGCAGAGATGGAGAAGGGGCCCTTCTCGGTGGAGTGGCTGGCCCAGAGCAGCCGCGGCGCAGCCCAGCCCGCGGCC